TGGAATTCCCTTTCCTCCCCTCCCGGGTAGCAGCTGGAAGGGGAAAGGCTCAGCCCCACACCTTCCCCGCAGTGTCCAGAGCCAGCTCCGAGCGCCTGGCAGAGGAGGAATGATGAGGAACAAGGAACGCGCTCCCGCTTGGGTGCAGCTCTGGGAATGTGGCACAGGACTCAGCCAAACCAGTGCAACCAGTACAGCTGGGCCAGGTGCCGGCCGTGCTGAGATCCCTGTGCCCGCCGTTCAAAGCTGAGCTGCTCTGACAGGGAGCTCTGACACCTGAGCAGYGCATCAGGAGGTGCTGGAGCAGCTCCCGGTGAATTTTCCGTGCCTTGGCTGGGGCAGGGCGAGGAGCCAGCGTGGCCCTTGCTGCACCCACCGGGACAAATCGGGGCTGGCCGGGAGGAGCAGCGGCTTTGTAAAACCTGCAAAGTCATCCTGGTCGGGAATGGGTGGGGAAGGGCCGGGGAGGGAGGACTGGGAAGCAAGGACAGCGATCGCTCATTTCCAGCTGCGGGTGTGGTGCTGTATTTTGGTGTTTAGCAGGGGCCTGAAGGACAAAGATTGTCCCAGGGACACACAGCTCTGGGGGACCCGGTGACACGTCCCTCTAATCCCCACCCCAAAGCACGTCCACCCCCCTTCCAAAGGCTGCTGTTTGCTCCTCCCTTCTGCCAGGGGCAGGAACGACATTTCACAATAAAACAGCGAGGAAAGAGAAACCAGGGCAGGACAGAAACTTCTGCCACTTCCACCTGGTCCTGGGAGCACAGGCAGAGAGTGTGAGGGTGGCCCCAGCCCTGGCTGAGCCCAGCCGAGCCCTGGCCCCCCATCCCAGCAGCTTTGGGGCTGAGCCGTGGGCATTGTCCCCGCTGTCCCCACTTACTGTGGCGGTGGCTTTGGGGCGCTGCCYKCGCCGGGCAGGGCGGTGGCTCCCGSGGCTCCCGGCTCAGCAGGGTCCTCATCTTCCTGACCACATAGCGGCAGGCTGGGGGGACAGGGGGAACGGGAGACCCTTCAGCCCTGGGAACCAGCAGCTGCCCCTAAAGAGCCTCCGCAGCGAGCCCGGAGCGTGCGGCACCCGCGGCGCTCACGGCCGAAGGCGGCAGAGGAGCAGAGGGGAAGGGATTAACCGGGATAAACAGGGCTCGTTTCTGCGTCTGGCCGAGTTTCAAAGCCCTCCAGCACCAGCCCGTCTCCCCCCACGAGCCAAGGCCATGAAATACGAACAGTATTTACCCTCCAAGCTCTCTCCTCAAACCAGAGCGYTCCTTACCGTGGATTATTAATCAAACCATTTTCTCGTGGGCTCAGCCAATCTGTCCTTCGCAGGCAGCCTGGCTCTGCCTCTCTCCYCTCTCGCAGGCAGCTCTGCAGTGTTGACTCAACAGCCCGGCTCCCTCCCTCTCTCTCTTCCTCCCTGGCACGGGATGCGCTCCCGGAACACATGCGGGGCCGGTCACATGCGGGGCCGCGGCTCAGCYCGGATCTGCCCCCGGCATCGCTGCCCGTGTGAGGAAGATTAACCCACAAACACCACAGGCTGATGTCCAAAAAGGAGATAGAGGAGTCCTGTAACTTTATTCGAATAAAGGGAGAGGTCATGGACATTTYCCRTGGGGTCTCTCAAATTGYYGGAGGGCGCAGCCTCTTTTATCCCAATTTCCCGGCCACAGTTCCCTCTCTCTTCTCCCATTGGCTGAGGTATTTRAGGGGTACAGACTCCCCGAAACTCCTAATGCAACCCCTCTTCTAATATCCACCCCCCCCCTTTAATGCACATCTCTGTGTCTCTGCTCCTCTAGTTCATTAACACAGCCTGGGCTCAGTCAATCAGTGGAATTTCTATGGAAATCCTTCCCATTGTTTCCTTTTATCTCCCAGTATCGGTTTTATCTTACCCGCAGAGTCACAGTTTGTTTGTACAGACGCTCCCTGCTCATTCCTTTCACCCGGGAATGCGATCCCTGCTCCTCCTGGCAAGGTGGAAGCGCTCCCGGTGCTGGCTGCGGGCTGCTGCTCTGAGCTTCGAGCCGGAGAAAATGA